TGACTGAAAACCAATAGGGCCTCCCCTCCCTCTGTGGAAAGGTGAGTTCCATAGTCCCGGCTCCCAGGAGAGCCCCATGGGGAGGCTGCTCCAGTGTGGCAGGTGGCAGTGGGTGTGGCTGAAAGTGCCTCATGGCTTTCAATCTGGATCCCAGGTCGGTGGATGGGCTTTGGCTGTATCACCTTTTTAAAGTTTTAATTTGGTAGCCGCTCAAAAGTTAAGGGAACCCGCAATGGGCAAAGTTAGCATGTGACAAGGTCTCCTCTTTGGACCTTGGTTTTCCTTGTCTGTAAAATGAGGGAATGGACCAGATCACTGCTCCAGAGCCCCAGTGCAACTATAGGAGTCTGTACTTTGAGGCCTGCTTCTCGCCTGTTGGAATTCAGTTCCTCCACCCTAACTTTTCTGCTGTCATCTGGGTGTTACGGGCTGGATTGCGTGTCCCCCACACATTCATATAGTAAAGTCTTAACCAAGTATCTCAGAATGTGACCATTTTTGGAAATAGGATCTGTATTCATCTGTTTTTACACTGCTAATAAAGACATACCCAAGACTGGGTAATTAATAAAGGAAAGAAGTTTAATTGACTCACTGTTCAGCATGGTTGGAGAGGCCTCAGGAAACTGACAATCATGGCAGAAGGGGAAGCAAACACGTCCTTCTTCACATGGTGGCAGCAGCAAGGAGAAGTGCTGAGCAAAAGGGGGAAGCCCCTTATAAAACCATCAGATCTCATGAGAACTCACTATCACGAGAACAACAGCATGGGGGTAACCACCCCCATGATTCAATTACCCTTCACTGGGTCCCTTTCATGACATGTGGGGATTATGGGAACTACAAGTCAAGATGAGATTTGGGTGGGGACACAGCCAAATCGTAGTAGGGTCTTAAATGAAGTCATTAGGTTAAAATGAGGTCATTAGAGTGAGCCCTAATCCAATATGATTGCGGTCCTTAGAAGAAAAGATCAAGACACAGACAGGGATAGGGGGAGGACACAGGGAGAAGGTGCCTTCTGCAAGCCCAGGAGAGAGGCCTCAGGAGGAACCAACCCTGCCAGCACTTCGATCTCGGACTTCCAGCCTCCAGAACGATGGGACAATACATTTCTGTTGTTTAAGGCAACCAGTCCATAGCACTTTGTTATGGTAGGCCTAGAAGACTAACACTGCATGATATCACAATGAATATGCTGGGCTGTGAAAGAAGTTCTGTGTGTTTTTCTTAACAGACTTGGATTTTTGGTTTTAGCTTAAAACAGACTTTTCTGTAGCAGGATATTTAAAACATTATGTTTATTTATTTTTTACAGGTTTCTTTATCATCTGATGTGAAATAAGCCATGTTAGTAAAATAACTCCTCTTTATCTTTACTTGAAGGGGATTTCACAATTTTGACCCAGAGGGCTATTTTAGCTATGGATTGTCATCCCGCCTTTTTTTTTTTTTTTTTTTTTGACAGAGTCTCGCTCTGTCCCCCAGGCTGGAGTACAGTGGCATGATCTCAGCCCACTGCAGCCTCTGCCTCCTGGGTTCAAGCAATTCTCCTGCCTCAGCCTACTGAGTGGCTGAGACTACAGGCGCGCACCACCACATCCGGCTAATTTTTTGTATTTTTAGTAGCGACAGGTTTTTACTGTGTTAGCCAGGACGGTCTCGATCTCTGGACCTTGTGATCCACACGCCTTGGCCTCCCAAAGTGCCGGGATTACAGGCATGAGCCACCGCACCCGGCTGTCATCCTGCCTTTTAAGAAATACTGTCATTATCTATAGAGTTCATTTATGGCCAAATAGCTTATTGGATAAACCTGCAGGTGATGGCACATGTATAAAGAACTTCAGACCACACAGGCAACCCCAGATATGGCATGGTCCAGTTTTTGTTTAGTACTTTTGGTTCTAAAGTTCATTGAGTCTAACATCATTTGATTGAGTTACAGAAGGACAAACAAAATGATGGAGAAAGGTCACCACTTATCACCTGCTGTTTAAGATTCACATATTCTTACTTGAAATAAAGCATGCTATTACCAAAGTGGATTTCTCTTTCCTTTAGTATCAGCATTCTGATTCTTTTATAGAATAGTCACATATAATTGGAATACACAGTCACATCAGAGACACAGGAAGCACAGAGTTTGTTTCTCTTTGTAAGCTCCATTTGACCACAGCAGTGAAGTTTCCGAAGAAGGGTGTTTGGATCAAGACTGTTCACTTGAGAGGTTAGAGTGGTCCAGGATTTGAGGCGCTACATGTCTGAGAAACAGATCATCATAGACACTGAGAATTGGGGCACATCCTTCCTTTCCTACCTGACTGTAGACATGCCCCGTAGATGCTGGATGACAGAGACGGACAATTCAGATGTAGCACCCCGACACAAAACCAACCGTGGAAATACCAATAAAATCAGCTGTTTCGTTTTTAAAATACACAGCAACATGAGTAAATGACTGGTTCATTTTATCAGCCCCCTTTTTTTGCTGTCATATAATTACAAGAATGGAAGTTGATATACTTTTTAAAATACAGCTTTTCAAAATCCCGTCTGGAGGAAAAAAGCTTGGCCAATTAAGAAGGCTGAGGGGAGGAACTGCAGGCACTTTTATTTCCAGCTGTCAACAGGATGGAAAAAATATGTCAACTTATTTATATTTATTTATTTATATGCATGATGAATAAGTTAAGGAACGCTTCATCTCAAACACAGATTGCTTTTATTTTAGCTAAGTTAATGTTTCAGTTCCATATATATTTTTGAATTTCCATCAATGTCAAACACCATTTTTTTCTTCTTAAAAAAAAAAAGATTTACAAGCACTTTTATGGCACTCAAGAAAGTAGGCTGAAGGTTCATAATAATAATTTTCCTTTTAAAAAACATCCATCAGACCAAAATAAAATCATTTTAATTAACTCCTTCCTGAGTAACTAAAACCTTGGAATGTGCTGAAAGGTTATAATAAATAAGACAGTCAAAGATCAACTAGCTTAAAAGGTATTTTTTTAAATTAAACTATGTAAAATGTACAATACGTTTCATGAAGTACAAACTGTTGGGCCCAGGGCCAAAAAAAATGTTGTCACGTTTGCCAAATAAACTGATGAAGTACCTTGACTTTTAGGACCTAGAGGGTGTTGGTTGGGACAAAATAACATTAAGACCCTGTAAGTAAATCCATCACCATTTTTTGTTGTGAAGTTATAATGATCACTGCTGAAAATAAATGCCTTTGAACACACAGGTAACAGTACCCAGGTAAACTTGCAGTAAGAGGATGAATGTTTTTGAACGACCAATTGTCTCAATGTTCTGACAAGAGCAGAGAAAACACAGCCAACTCAAATTTATTTTCAGATTGCGAGATTGCACAGTGTGTAAACTAATCATCATTCTTTATATGGAATTTCATAGAAATGACTCACAGAGTACCAGGCAGCAGTTCTTGTACTGGTTTTGAATATGATAGCTCTTCTCCAGGTTGCTTTTGAAAGTATGCCTAATGGTAGGGCCCTGGTCTCTCTGAACAGGACAAAGGATATTTCCTCCTCTAAGAACATTCCCCTTAATTGCTTTTCTGCCCCCATCCTCTGAGGCAGAAAGAAGGCCCATGAGCGGCCAAGTGCTGGACTCCGTGCCTCTGTGGTCCCTGCCCTCCCTGGACTCCTGTGGGCTGGAGCCTTCTTAACACACATCTCATGATAAAGTAGCTTTAGTGCTCACTCGGCACGTTCCAAATGACTTGCTTTACATCTTGGCTACCGTCCAATTTTAGTGAAGGAAGAAAAAATTCTAGAGAGACTTGGTGGTTTATGAAAAGTAGAAAATGTGTAGCTTGTGTAAAGTCAGAGTCTTATTTACTATTAACTACTCCCAACTCACACATGTGCTAGGGCTGGCTCTAGGGGACAAATATGAAATAGACAAAATTTGTTGCAAGTATCCTTCCTTCTGCCACCACTGAACCTCGGCTTCTCAGCTAGCTGTTTATCGTCTCCCCAGGAGAATGTGCATTTTCAGGATTTCTTTAAGGTGAAAATATTTCAGAACTCAAAGGAACAGATTTCTAATGACTGAACCAAGGCATCGTTGATAGGTGGCAGGGGAGGGGCAGTGGGAGGGGGCAAGAAGACATACCTTAGGACAGTGAGACTGCCCAACATCTAGTTACATTACATTGGAGGCAGCCACTTACTTACAAAGCTGGCCAAGCAGTCTCTGCCCCAAAAGCTCTTGCTGCTTCTATTTTGATGTCTCAAGTAAGAGTTGAGGTGTGCTCAGGAGCACACAGGTCCCATAAGAAAGGGGACTCTACCTGCACAGAACTCGGGTAGTTCTCGGGTAGCTCTGTCACCTGCACAGAACTCAGGACCCCTTTTTACTGAAAACAGGTACCTCTTAGGGGACTAGAAGTTACAATAGTACATAGTACCGGGTCCTATAGGACCCAACTTGGCCAGGGGTGTGTTTGATAGATTACACACCATCTGTGGTCAGGCTCGGAACTTCTGCTGTGGGAGTCAAATGCCTGAGCTAAATTGGTTCCTGGAACTTCCATTTAAAGCAATGTTGGGAGAAGATGTTTCATATTGGGTGCAAAGGATACAGCCATGCCCTTTCCCTGATGCCACATGACCTTCAGATTTATCTGTCTTGTTTACATTCTTCCTTAGACAGCAAACAAATTATTTTCCCTGCTAGACTACTTTGATATCTGTCAGCATGGTGCTTCGAAATGGAATGTTTCAATGGAGCTGGTCATGCATTTTGACCTTGAAATGTACTCCAGGCTGGGGATTGGTTGGGGACGTGGCACAAGCTAACTTGCTCTTCCAGAGATAACGACACTGCTCTTGGTGAAAGTGCCCCCTGAGAAGGACCAGAGGCAGAACTCTACCCATGCGGGTAGAAACCACTTACCCAGGGAGATCCTCCTCCTTTAAAAAAAAAAAATTTAATTGAGACAGAGTCTCACTCTGTCATCCAGGCTGGAGTGCAGTGGTGTGATCACAGCTCACTGCCACCTCAAACTCCTGGGCTCAAGTGATCCTCCCACCTTGGCTTCGTATTACAGGCTTGAGCCATGGCACCTGGCTCCATCCTCCCTTTTGATGTCCTAATCCGTCTTATCTTCTCTTAGATCCTTCCAGAGGAGATTCCCTGGTCTCTGAAGTGGTTTGTATTTCTACTGAAATATACAAGTCTGGATGTCTCCTACCATTGAGGTAATATTTTTATAAGTCATTTTACAAATGATAAATTATTAGGCTAGGGGCTATATTTCTCCCCCTTTTCCCATCATATGGGGTAAGGGGAAAGCTGTTTTATGACAAGATGCCTTGGGATGGAGCCATCTAGTGTACCTGGGAAAGACCCAAAGAGCCAAGAGAAAACACAGAATAAAATTAAACAAATAAAACCCGCAAAACCGGGCATCTCCCAATGACCCCAACATGTGGGAATGTTTTGTTCTTTTTAATGCACCCAAGCATTAATTTAGTCCCTTAAGGATTTTACTTCCCCAAAACAAAGAACTTTATGGAAAAGGGAGATAAAGCCATGGAGGCAACACAGTCACATCACCTCTTATAAATATCTTCTAGCCACTTTTCATCATCCTGTTCTTCATCGTCGATTGGCTCCTCGGTTTCCAGTGGAGTTGGGATAAAGAAGTGTGGCCTCAGGGGGGGCTTGCTGACGTGAGACTTAAGTCCAAACTTGCGCTTCAGCAGGTGGAACTGCTCTTTGACGTAGTGGTAAAACTCGTACTCGTATCTCATCCGCTGGTAGAGGATCTGCACGGCCTCGGGAGAGGGGACAGTCTTCTTCACCGTCACAGTCATGTTTCCAAGCTTCCTGTGCTCTGGAAGAGAACCGGGGTTGCACATGAACCATCGTTTGCAATGCTTTAGCTTAGGAGGGATCCCCGCGAGGACCCACATTACCTGTACAACTCTGGTAGCACCTAACGAAGCAACAGCATATCCAAGTATTAGAAGGGAAGAAGGGTTCCTGACAATATTTGGAAAGACTCACCAACTCTAAGCATTAATGTCAATGTGAGTTGACGAAGCACAAGCTATCTAATTTCCTTTCATCGGATGTGAACCATGCAATTGGACCAAATTCAATTGTTAACTCTGAGTTCTACATTCTTTTGAACAGCAGAATCTACCCATTTTCCCTCTTTTATTTCTTGTTACACCAGAAAAGGGTTTTACCCTCAGAAGGAGGCATGGAAGAGCTGTCTAACTACTTTCTAATAATCTTGTTTTTGTAAGTTTTCAAACACTGACATAAAGTTTAATTTGATACAAAATCCATTTCCATTTTACTATTTCAACAATGCATTTGTCCAGAAAAGGAAAGGAAGGGCTGCCAGATTTCTTAAGTATAATTTACACATTTTAAAAATTTATTTGTATTTTTTGTAGAGACAAGGTCTCACTAAAACTGTTGCCCAGGCTGGTCTCAGCATCAAGAGATCCTTCTGCCTTGGCATCCCAAAGTGCTGGGATTATAGGCATGAGCCACTGCACCCAGTCTAAATATAATTTTAACTGTTATACATTTTAAATTTTTTATTGTGGTAAAATATGTATAACTAAAATATGCTTAATTTTATGCTAATGCTTAATAACAAAATATGATATTTTATATTCATTGCTGAATAGCATGAAAATGTTAAATATAGAGTGTACAATTTTAACTATTTTTAAGTATACACTTCAGTGGCATTATTTATATTTACGGTGTTGTGCAACCATCACCACTATCTTAAAAATCCTTTCATGAGTCTATACAAAAACTTGATATCCATTAAACAGTAACTCCCAATTCCTTTCCTTTCCTTACCCCACCCTACTTACCCCATCAATTAGATAGAACCTCTAATCCATGTTCTATCTTTATGAATTTGCTTATTCTCAGTGCTTCATATAGGTGGAATCATACAATATTTGTCCTTTTTTTGTCTAGCTTGTTTCACTAAGCATGTTTTCAAGGTTCATCCATGTTGTAGTGTGGATCAGAACTTCATTCCTTTTTTTTTGAGACAGAGTTTCGCTCTTGTTGCCCAGGCTGGAGTGCAATGGCGTGATCTCGGCTCACCGCAACCTCTGCCTCCCAGGTTCAAGTGATTCTCCTGCCTCAGCCTCCTGAGTAGCTGAGATTACAGCCATGCGCCACCACGCCAGGCTAATTTTGTATTTCTCGTAGAGATGGGGTTTCTCCATGTTGGTCAGGCTGGTCTTGAACTCCCGCCCTCAGGTGATCCGCCCACCTTGGCCTCCCAAAGTGCTGGGATTACAGGTGTGAGCCACCCGCACCCGGCCCAGAACTTCATTCCTTTTAAGGTTGAGTAACATTCCATTGTATAGATAGAATGCAATTTGTTTATCCGTTCATCCATGGAGAGACACTTGGATTGTTTCCATCTTTTGTTTATTATAATGAACACTTGCATTCTAGTATCTGAGTCCCTGTTTCCACTTATTTTGGGTATATATATACCTAGGAGCAGAATTGCTGGGTCATGCAGTAATTCTAAGTTTAACATTTTGAAGGACTGCCAAACTATTTTCCACAGTGTTTGCACCATTTTACATTCCTACCAGCAATGTGTGAAGGTTCCAATTTCTCCAAATTCTCTCTTACAATTGTTATTTTCCTGCCTTTTTAAAATTGTGGCCATCCAAGTAAGTGAGGAGTGGTATCTCATTGTGGTTTTGATTTGCATTTCCCTAATGACTCCTGATAATGATGCTGATGCTAATGGTTTCCCTAATTTCTAGTGACCTTTTCATGTGCTTGTTGACAAGCATGTGCCCAACAAATGCTGTTTGTTAGTATATCTTCTTTACAGAAATGTCTATTCAAGTCCTTTGCCCATTTTTGAAGTGGGTTTTTCTTTTGTTTGCTTTTGTTTGTTTTTATTGTTGATTTGAAGGAGTTATTTATATATTTTTGATAATCTGCACATATATCAAGTATATAATTTACAAATATTTTCTTCCATTCCATAGGCTGTCTTTTCACCTGTTGATAGTGTTCTTTGATGCACAAAAGTTTGTAATTTTAATGAAGACCATTTTAGCCATTTTTCTCATATTGCCTGACTTTTGGTGTCATGTTAAAAAAAAAATTGCCAAATCCAAAGTTGACACATAGAAGTTTTCAATTGTAATGGAGACCATTTTATCTATTTTCCTCTTATTGCCTGTCTTTTGGTGTCATATTAAAGAAGCCATTGCCAAATCCAAGGGCATGAAGATTTGCCCTCATGTTTTCTTTTATAATCTTGTTTTTGACTAAACTTTCTGTCACCAAATTTGAATAGGTATATAATTTACTAAATATAGTTCCAAATGGCTATTTCCAAAATCAGACTCATTTAAAAGGACACAGACTTCCCCTTTTTTAGGATATTTGAGATACCTTCTGAAGCCTCCAGTAGCAATTCTAAAGAAGGAATTTGAGAAATTCTCTATGTAGACGCTAAGAAGGGTAATGGGGGATTAGAGGACAGGTGGGGATGGTTTATAGGTACAAAAAAATAGAAAAATGAATAAGACCTATTATTTGATAGCACAACAGGGTGACTATAGTCAACAATAATTTAATTGTACATTTAAAAATAACTAAAAGAGTCGGGTACAGTGGCTTATGCCTGTAATCCCAGCACTTTGGGAGGCCGAGGCAGGTGGATCACAAGGTCAAGAGATGGAGACCATCCTGGCCAACATGGTGAAACCCCGTCTCTACTAAAAATACAAATAGCTGGGCATGGTGGTGTGCACCTGTAGTCCCACCTACTCAGGAGACTGAGGCAGGAGAATTGCTTGAACCCAGGAGGCAGAGGTCGCAGTGAGCTGAGATTGCGCCACTGCACTCCAGCCTGGTGACAGAGCGAGACTCTGTCTAAAATTAATCATAATCATAATCATAATAAAATAACTAAGAGAGCATAACTGGGTTGTTTGCAATGCAAAGGATAAATGCTTGAGGGGATGGATACCCCATTCTCCATAATGAGATTATTATGCATTGCATGACTGTATCAAAACATCTCATGTACCCCATTAGGTATTAATTAAAATAAAAAATAAATAAATTCTCTGTGTGGCCAACAGCCTCATTGAATAAGGGTATTACTTTTAAAAATGACTCTTTTGAAAGTTCTTTGCCAGGTTGGGTCCTTTGTACAGGGAAGCCTAGATCCTTGTAAATAGATAACATGGTCTTCATTAAAAATTAAAAACATAACACACATTGAACATTCTAGAATTTCTGTTAAAGAACTTGGCATAGACTCTTCTGAAATGGGTTCCTAACAGAACATTTTATAATATCTGTCTTCTCTGAAGATATGAACTCTAGCTAATCTGGGGCGGGTCATTGTTCACAGGTCTTAGGTGTTCCTTTGTGTTTTTTAAAACAGAATTTTAAAATCTTATGAAAGACAGACAAGAAACAAAGAGTTTTAATTCAAACATTGAGAGGCAGAGGAAAAATAATTCTCTCATTGAAAGCCTCCTTCAATCCCTTCCTCTGAGAGCACTATATATTGTGTAGGGTTTTGTTATCTGATACACAAAAACGTAAGACTCCTGCGATTTAAAATAAATTCATTAAATTATTTGGCCCAACCTGGCAAAGGATCCAAGGGGATAAGCAAAGGGGAGCCTAGAACCTTGTAAAGAAGTAACTTGGAAATCTGTTCTATTTCACAGCCTCAAAGCTCTTTGTCATAAGGTTGAAACAGTAATTTCCTAAAAACAATGGACAGCAAGTGTAATCAAATAAATACCCTGACTACAAAACTATTTGAGAAATACCAATCACATTTTTAACTTAGAGCAAGGTAACTTTCTATACTAGTCTTCAATCACTTGCAAAGTGTTGGTCTATATAATGGATTGAGTTGACTTGCTATATAAATGGTTATTAATTTCAGGCCAGAAAAACTTTGGGAAGACTCTTTAAAAGTTACAGCATAATGGGTTTATACATTTCTTTCTTTGATTACGATTAGGTGACTGGGCCAACCACTATAAGGCTACTCCTAGTTCATGACAATAAAACTGTCTTCCCTGAATGCCTTCCTCTATGGCTAGGTGGGGGAGTTGGTGGATGGGCAGAGCAGGTAAATAACTCTGCCAAAAGTGACATCATATCCTTCTGAATAGACATTTCTCAAAATAAGACAGACAAATGGCCAAGAGGTATATGAAAAAACTCAACATCACTAATCATCAAGGAAATGCAAATCAAAACCACAATGAGATATCAAGTTACTTTAGTTAGAATGGCTATTATTAAAAAGGCAGTAAATAACAGATGCTGGTGAGGATGTGGAGAAAAGGGAACTCTTATACATTGTTGGTGGGAATGCCGATTAGAACAGCTACTATGGTAAACAGTATTGAGATTTCTCAAAAAACTAAAAATAGAACTACCATGATCCAGCAACCCTTCTACTATGTATCTATCCAAAGGAAATGAAATCAATATATCAAAGGGATACCTGCACTCACATGCTCATGTATTTACTGTAGTACTATTTGCAGTGGTAAAGATATGGAATCAACCTATGTCCATCAATAACAAATGAATGAATGAAGAAAATGTGGTATTATATACATAATACTTTTTTATGATGTCTCTCATAAAAAAGAAAGAAATCATGTCAGTTGCATCAACGTGGATGGAACTGGAGGTCATTATGTTAAATGAAATAATCCAGGCACAGAAAGACAAAGATCATGTATTTTCACTCATATATGGGAGCTAAAGAAGTTGACCACATGGAGGGAGTAGGATGATAGATACCAGAGGCTGGGAAGGGTGTCTGGGTGGGAGAGG